CGGTGTAAGTCCCCGCGCTCTTTTTCGCGTTGGAATTGTTGGTTCTACCTCTTCCTGGCGATGTCTGACTATCTTGAGCGGCGTCAGCGAAATTACCGAGGTTCGTTACACAGCAAAACTTCGCGTGAATAATCTGACTTGCGGCGATTCATTCCGCGTGGACGCCGCAGAATGTACGCTAAAGCCTGATTCACATGATGAGATTTCGCTCGCAATTTTCAGTAGCGACGTCGCTCGGACTGCGAAAGCGTGAACCGTAGCTGAGATGGTCGACGTCGATACTGAAAATCGCAAGCAGAATCTAACCAAGTGAATCAGGCATAACAAGTCGATGATGGCCACTGGTAACAATGATCAACATCTCCTTGTATCTACTGTTTACATCGAGCCTGCTTACCAACCTTCAAGCTTAAGTCTTTTGAGGCCTGCACTTACTTCTTATCGCAAGTACCGGGCCCACGTTTGGTCTGCGGGCCGGTGTCCTCTAAAAGAGCAGACGACAAGCAGAAACGTTTGAAAGAGCAGACGACAGTTCGAACGATCAGGCGACCGTTTGAACTTCAAGACGCACTGAACGTAGTCCGCAGGTGGTCCGTACAACTCGACGGTTTTCCGGCGTTCATTTTGGAACAAAACAAATAAATCTGATGGCCAGAAGTATCCGTGAATTCAACCCAAGATGCTTCCCGTCCAAGCAATCGTGGTCCGATGGCGTCTGGGTTTCCCTTTTCACGGCACATATCCACGTTCTCGGACGAACCGAGCGCATGAAAACTGACCTTCAAACCTTTCTCGACCCTTTTGGTACAGCCAGGGTCGCAGCATCTTGACAAGAAGGCAGGTTTTTGTCTTGTTCCTTTCAAAACAACGCAGGAATACACGTCTCAGATGGGCACTTTCGCCCACAGCCCCGGACCGGAAGTGCGTCCGACGCGCCACCACCGCGCCGTGACGTAACAGAGATGAGTTCGTGTATAGGCAGCCGGCAATGGCCAGGGGGCGCCACGAGAGTACTGCATTCAGCGCCACAAGCGGAGGCGTCTCTGTTACTGGGGCGGCCAATTTAACGGCCATCGGGCGATCGGGCCGTGGCGAGCGTCGGCGATGCTGATTTCGGAAGTCCCGTGTGCACGTGCGCACCATGTCTCTGGTTCTTTTATGCGGATTTAAGACCATCGGGAGCATTGATAGGTATTTTAGACCTCCCACACTCATCAAAGGAAGGCGTCTTTACGAGAACAGCCACGTCTATCAGGTTCGTGAATTCGACGGCAAAGACATTACAGCTAAGTGTTTCTCGCAGCAAAGCAAGCACGTGTACGATGTGGAACTCCATGTAAGTTAACAATTCAGTGTATTTATGCTTGTTTGCTTGCATGTCTGATGTCGGTGGCTCTTTTCAATCGACATTCTACGATGGACAAAAGGCCGGAGCCACGGGCCGCACGGCCGCGCCCGTGGCTTTGATTTTTAGTCAATCGTAGGGCTTAAAGTGCCCTCGCGATTCCACGCCTGGTTCCATCATGCATGCCTAAAATTTCCGTTGCACCCCCTATTTTCATTTTCAGCTAACGGCTGAGCCTCGCGAAATAGAAAGCGGCAAGTGCAGTTGTCGCTACGGGTGTCTCGGCAACTGCAAGCACTGCGCGGCTGTGGCTATCTTCGTGAATGAGCATGAGCACCCGTCGTGTACCAGTGTTGCGCAAGCATGGGGAAAGCCAGCGGGCAAACCGGCGCTTAATGATAAAGCCTCAATTGAAGAGCTTTTTGGAGGTACTATGCTTTTGCTTTTCGACTAGCGATTTTGCATTTGCGAGACATGCGCGAGCAAGCGATCGCCGGATTTTCCCATTTTGCTTTGACTGCCCTTATCTCTCGTCAAAGGTGGCGAAATTTCGTGTTTGTACTAATCTGCATGGGTGTACGAAAAAAAAGTGCTCGTCATGTTTATGCTCATTGTGTCGCACATATTCAGGATGCTTTTAGTTGCTATGCACCCTCTGCATATGCAATGTGTCACCCACTGATGTTAAGCACTCACATCTATGTTTTCATTGTAATCATAATGCTCTCTTGTGGTTTGTTCATTCACTCTGTTTCTAATTTTCAGTACTTAAACCATATATATGTATATCTGAGGGGCACTTTCATCATCGTACGTGGTCCCCAAAAGAGGAAATATTAAAAAATATGCAGATGAATGAACCATACTTGACCGAATAAATAAAAGTTTACCGAGCCGCCCTTTTGGCGGCTCCGTAAACTGTGGCGGAGCTGAGATTTTAACTCCAGGCCCCCCAATACCGTCTCGTTGATATGCTACTGTCAGGCTTCATATTCATGCTAGACTCAAAATTTATAGCAAACATTTGCTGCACTCAGTGATACACTGCAAGCAACTGTGTAAATGCTAATCGTTTTCAACTATAATTGCTCTATTAATGGTAAATGTTTTTGAAGTTATGCACCAATAAACAAATAGATGTAAATTGGTTATTTTTTTCTTTTATTTATAATTCTCTAATATTGTATTGTCCTCATCACCCTTCTGCTCCCAGGCAACAACAATCCGCATGTAGCCAACAAAAAATCAGTAGAGTTGTCGCCATTTTATACGTACCACCCAACAAATAGATGCGAGTTGAATATTTTCTTGTATTATTTATAATTGTTTAATATTGTATTGTCGTCATCCTCCTCCTGCCTCCAGGTAACAACAGTGCATTTGTAGGCAACAAAAGGCCAGCCGAGTTGTCACCATTTTATGTGCTCGACCATTTCACGGGCATTGTGTCGCCTTTCACTGAAGTACTACAAGAAATGGCGAAAAGTGAGGCAGAGATAATCTGCTCCGAAATTTCCCGCCAAGCACAAGAAGAGGTCATCAGAGCATCTCAGCTGCTCAAACTCAGCGAGCTCTTTCCGCCACCAGCGAAGCCACTACATGCACTGGAGATTTCTGGGGACTTCCCCATGCTCTTTGTAACACCAAAAAAACATCAGCTGACAGCAGAGCAAAGTGCATTTTATGCCAATCATGTCATCTGCGAGTCCTTGCTCGAGCTCTGCGTGGAGACGATTGGGCAGTCGAGCTGCTTAAGGTATGGCGATTACTTGGGCCGAGTTGCATAGCATTGAAAAGGGTATTCAACTGCAGGGAGGGATTCTCATACATTTTGATCCCGGGGCACGCACATCTCGCTTGATTGCCGAAGAACCCCTCCCAGTTTAGTGATCGATGCAGTGCACAAGGCTGCAGGGCTTGCAAATAATAATGCACATACTAGGGAGTGCTTGGCTCAGGGTTCTGCATCAATGGGTAGCTCAGATCTGCTAAATAGTGCTGAAACTGGAAAAATGCTTCACTTTGAGGCAGGTGTGGTTGAGTAAATTGATCAGCAAAAAGAAACTGCTAGTGACTCATTTTGAAAGCCTATGTTCTACTGTGTACCTTTGCTTACATAAGTTTATGTTCTTTCATCTAGATGGCACAAAGAGCGCAAGACACGCATTAGCAGCACAACTGCCCACACAGTCCTACGAGCCCGAAGAGGCCCAAGGGAGGTTGCCGAAGCACTCCTGAGACCGAGGAAATTTTCCTCAAAGGCTACGTCCTATGGTATGTGTAGGGTTCCATGTTTTCGGGTAAAGCGGTAAAAGGCTTGTCGGCAAACCTTTCCTCATCTTCGGTTTATCTGTGAAACTCCACTTCCCAAAACTGTAGTGATAGAAAAAAAAAAAAAAGGATATTGTGCGATATTTTACCGATGTCTTGCACAAGGTTAATGATTGCACTGAGGAGCAGCCACTATAGTCTCTTTAAACCTTGCGCAATTAACAAAAGGAGCATATAGTCTGGGTCCATTCACGACAACCGATTTTCTGGGTCCCGACAAAAGCCAGTTTATGCATGCGATTGTGCCTGCCGCTGTTTCATTTTCAGTTTAGACTATATCATATGGGCTTCTTGCAGGAAGGAGGAGGCAATGCTTTTTTGGTCCTGTGGATTTCAAGTAAATCTTGCTCACATAAAATGGCCGTCCGTTTCCTCCCACATGGTTTTCTTTGGGTAGTGTCTACGGTAGCTTTATACGACCAACCAACCTCGGAAGTCACATAAGCACGAAATTTGTAGGTCAGTCCGTAACCGCTAAATGATTTTGAAGAGAGTCATTTTTCCAGTGACTGAGGGTTGATCCTCAGTCATTAGCATGGAAGGTGAGTGTGCTACTGGCTGATCTATAGACCCAGCACGCAGGAACAGGACAAGCAGAAGCATGCATTGTGAGAAAGCACATGAAGTGAAGAGGGGTGGAAAGGGCAAGAAAGAAAGGAGCAGAACTATGATGCACAGAAGCAGCCCCGTGAATGGCGAGCTGGTATATGGGCTCAGCAGGTTGTGTCGCTGCAGTGGCTGCGAAACAGCAGCGTGCCCAGCTGCCATCAGGAGGCCATCGAGCCCAGGATGTGGCAACTTACCGTCGCAAGCAGGCCCGGCAATCAGAAGAACTGCGTCGAGGTCAAGGGCGGAGGTTGCTCGAGCTTGACGCTTTACGATTGAATCATTCTTTGTGTTGATCGTTAAGCATCAACGCTATGTATTTCGCGTCGAAGTGCATCAATGCGAAGGAACGTTGAGCATTGACGCTCAATGCCTTTCAACTTTTCAACCTAATGTTGAAAGACTTCTAAAACATCCAAAGTATTTTCGTAAAATTTTATTTTGTTTAGAAACCCTTTCTGGCCAACCATGGCCCTATAAAGCTACCACATTTAAACGCATTTGATAGAATGACTAAACAAGCAGTAAAGCTTTTTATTCATAATTGTGAATGAGAAATATTAAAGCATTAAGCCTCAATGAATGCCACAAGTCAAAAGGTTTGAAGCTTACAAGTAAAACCCAGGAAACACAGATTTTCCAATATAAAATAATGTGGAAATATGGGGTCCAGTATTTGTAATATCCAGAGTATTCTTTGTTCCAACATTTATAACTCTTAGGACTGCGGACAGAACCTCTGGCCAGGAGGGACTTCGAGCAGCAATTTGGTGTTGCAGTCGTAGAGGTAAGATGACACTCTTAATTCTAATCTTTGTGTGACTAAGGTCAGCAAAAAATGGTTGGTGCCTAAAATTAAAAAAAAGCAAAAAAAAAAATTTTTTTTTAATGAATGGTGCATTGACAAATTTAGTTATTTTTTATAAAATTATATATATTTATATAATTTATATAAAAATATAAATTTATATTTACAATTATAGTATGGGGGCTTTAATTAAAAATAAATAAGTGGCAGTCTTTCTTTTTAAACTACCTCTGTGTCTCTGAGGCAAGGCATCGGAGAGCGGATGCCCTGTTGACAGGTTCAAATCCCAGCCGAGGTGCCCGCAATATGACGGAGACTTCTTGCGGGAAAGGTGCCGTCTAACCAAGATTTTGACTGCACATCAAACAATCCCTAGGGGGACAGAACGAATCTTCAGTTGTTCACTGGGGTGTGCGGGATGGCCCTAGTTAGTTTGGCACGTGAACCCTCACATTTAAATTTTCAGTTTTTCTTAAAGACATGTGCACTAAACCATGGCAGTGCAGTAGGAAGGAATAACAGTCAATGTTTCAACGGCTACAGTTTCTTACTCGGGTTCTAATAATGCGTTGTGTACCTCATCTTCGCTCTTTGGTCATGATGCAGCACTGTGGTCCACTGTATCTCTTTTGTAGATGTCCTGCAGTTCACACGGTGTTGAAGCCTTTTGCTGCAGGAGGCATAAATGAAGTGGTTTGCTTCTAACTAATTATTCAGTGAGCTTTTCAGGTTGGCCTGCTCCTGCATCCGGACCAGCCATGGCTTTGCGGAAGTCCCGACGGCATTTTTAAGTTCATCGATGAAACATGCTTGCTCGAGGTGAAATGCCCGTATAAATGCAAGGACAAAAAAATACTTGATGCCTCAGGGCAAAGCATTGTACGTTATCTGCAGTGTGCTGATAACAAGATAATGCTAAAAGAGTCCCACAGATACTACACACAGGTTCAGATCCTGCTGTACCTGCTAAATGCGAGAGAGTGTTTTTTTTTCGTTTACTCTAGCAAGCAGAACATCACAGTTCGTGTGGCCAAAGATGATGCCTTTCTTCAGCAAGCAGTTCCTGCTTTGGAAGATTTCTACTTTAAGTGGTTTCTACCTGCCCTTGCTAAGCAGTGAGTTTGGGAACGGGTGAATTGTTTTTCTGTACGTGAAAGTGTATACTCTAACAGTGGCAGTGACTGTATTTTTAGTTTTTATTCCTTTTTTAAAAGCATGTACATTTTCTCAAAAACTGTTAAGGTATCTTCATAGTACAATAAAAAGGGAAAAAAAAAACTTGAGAAACGTGATTATGTATTGCTGGTTCTCCACTCTCAAGCAAATGCACACATTCTTAGTCTAGTGCCATAAAATACAAGGCAGCACATGATCTACACTCTGAAGAAATGAAAATAACACCCAGTTTTTGGGCCTGAATAAATAAGCTATGCATAGCAAAAAATTCACCAGGATACGACGCTAGCAGAGGGGACACAATGCTAAATGGACCTTTTGGCGAATATGTGCTGCCACCTAGACACGCGACTGGGTTCGAGACTTAAGTGACTAGAAAACAATGCATGTGCACGGCCTCTCCCACCCGTTCGACACCTAAAGCGTCGGCCACATCCTGTTCACCATTGAGGCGCTGCGACCTAGATACGGCTCCCCCAAACTCGTCTTTGTCCCCATCATGCGTTATCTTCTGCCCCGTAGTCAACACAAAGAAACTATCTTCGCTCTCTGTTCAGCGAGAAGGAAGAGACAGAGGGTACTAGAACCATTTACTCTCGAACCAATATTTCTACAAAAGGTCCATTGTTGAGAACGTGACCTTACCTGAATCGAGATAAAAAAAACAAAAATTTTCTATGAGCCGACGTTTATGGCATTGTGGGCACCTCTGGGTTTTATTGCAATTAATGAAATTCATTAGGAAGAAAGACATAACTGTATTCCTTACAAGCTTTTATGCCATAATGAATCTCTACATGTCAGTTTTCATTGCACAAACATTGTGCTCAAGTGAATCAAAGAATTGTTTTTCTTTTACCTTTTCATCCCGATTCACGCCATGTTCTCAAGCCGACATTCTATCCTCACTGCCAGATTCATATCATGGTGAACTGTTAGACACACGAATGCAGAAGTTACTAACGCCTAATAATTGGTGGCTGAAGATTTGCAAGAATACAGCACATGTGGAAGACATTTGTCATGCCTGGAATCAGCTTAACCGGAATGCGGTTGTTTAAGATATTATACACTTTGATTCTCTGAATCATTCTTTCCACATGTATTCGCACTTGGGCAACATTATACGTGTCTCTAACCTCTTCTGCGTTAAATTGGGGTCCATGAAGAAATGGTGGCATAACAAGCACAGCGTTTCCATTTCCTAAAACTGTTCGGATTCCAGGGAATCCTTTATCTGCAAGAATCACATCTCCAGGCTGAACCAGATTTAAAAAACCAGAATTGACAGTGACATGCGCATCAGATAGCCTACCTCCAAAAGCCTCGGAGTGAAAACAAATCATGCCGCCTGGTGTTATAGCAACTAAAAATTTCAATGTATATCCCCCTTTGTAGTTGGAGTAAAGCGTTCGTTGTTGCTGCACAGTTGGTGGCTGCTCAGTGCGAATCTCTGTGCAGTCAATAATCATGGTGCAGCCTGGATAGTGCAGCTTAAAGCTGTCTGGCATCGTAGCCCGAATAACTCTAGCTGGGGGACGAAAAATCCAATTTTTCGTTGCCACGGCAAGGGTCTTCAGCACACTTTTGAAGTGCCGCGATGCGGAAGTTTCATTTATAGAGAAAAGAATGGCGAGGGATGAATAGCTAATCCCAAGTTTCAGTTTCATCAGGAAGAGAAGTAGCCTGTTCTCCATTGAAACATCACACTTGCGTTCGGAAGAAATAGGAAGTAGGCTTAAAAGCAAAGCAAAGACCACTTGGCTCACACTGCATAGATCTTCAAGAGCAGTGGCAGACTTTGCAATGGTGTCATAGCCTGCAAAGAAGCTTGTCCTATGGTCAGGACCACTATGCCTGCTGGCAACGTCTGGCTTGTGCTGCACGCCACAGTCGCTGGTCTCGCAGTGCGTCACTTGAGTCGATGCCTCTGGTCCCCGAATGAAACAAGTAAACACTGAAAAGCTTCTGGTATAAGTGCCTGTGTCTTCAGTTTGTGTTTCCTGAAAGGGTTTTAAAAATTTGTTGCTTAATTAACATGTCCACTGCATAGGTCTCCCAGTTGGTATATGATTGTTATAACCCAATACAAGCCAAAAATGCACCAATGCTTCGCCTCCATTGTGCGCTCGGCGAGTTTAGTCACGTTTTGACTCGCAAGACGTCAAAGTGCTACTGAAAGTAGAAATCTCGTACTGGCGGCGTAGCCTCTGGCTCAGTCTTGCTTGTATCTGACTATAGTAAACAAAATTCACCAGGTACTATTGCGTTTTTCCTGCTGCTGCTAGCCTTGAAGAATGACACAAGGCAATAATTCAACAAAAGTAATTTATTCACTTACCGCCGCAAGTTGCAACGCCCTCCCCCAACCCTGTGCATACATTGTGACAGCTTCCGTTCTTGTGTGCGACACAGCACCACTGGTGTTAGACGACTGCACCTTGCCACCTTACGGGGGATATCATTAAGGATGATTAACATACAGGCAACCTGGGCTACAGTTCTGTGCTTCCACGGTGCCCCGATTTCTTCCCTCTTCAAGCAAAATGAATAGGGGACAGCTCAAGATGCCTTGGGGTTATTCTTTCCTCGGTGTCTTCAACGGCCAGGCTTTCGCACATGTCGATGCCCAGGGGAGACTGGATTGTCGTGTCCACTCTTTGGACCAATGACTGTATTCCCGGCCAGGATGGATGCGGCTGTGGTGGGTTCTAGAACGAGACTGTTGCTGCACTTCTGGTCAATTTGTGGCTGCGCTTTAAAATGGTGCCAATTCAACTGCAGTGGCAGCGAGTCGCCCACAAAGGCAAATGAATGGAAGCACAATTCCTCCCTCCTTCTTGCCCAAAGAACAAAAGAAGTCATGAATGCTGCTCGATAAGAGCTCGTACACCCCCTTGCGTTGTCTTCTTTGCCATCGCAGGCTGTACCATGGTGGACATGGTGGGGAAATCCCCAAGAGATGGTCAAGGTCGTCTTCATCTGGAATCTGTGGTGCATCTACTCCTTCAGGTTCATAAAAGAGCTTTATGTCAGTCACATGAAAAGACCTACACACCTCACCAGATCTGCAAAGCCTGCATGTGAAAGAGGTTGGAAAACCCTTCTTACAAACTTCCCACCATTTAACATTGAAAGGATGCGAAGCTCCTAGCCATATCACCCAGCAGACATGTTTACCATGGCACCTGATCTCCTATCTTGAACTGCAGATTCAGTCACCCTTCACTCTGTTGCTCGGCCTTCTGCAGTCTTAAGAAGTCGAGGCTCTCCCAAACTATTTGCAATTTCTCTGGGACATACTTCCAGAGATCTGCCAACGACATGGGGGTGAGCTGCATGCATGCTGGTTCTGTGATAAGAAAATGGTTCCTTTGGGAATAAGAGTTCTTTGGTTCCTTTGGGAATAAGAGTTCTTTCCCAAGCTTTGGTTGGGCTGGACTAAAACCCGATAGACTGGTTAATTCTTACGCTAGTAGCGAATGCCTTTTCTTGCAATTTTTACACCACAACCTTTGTACCACTTCGTGTGCACATTATTTTAAGCTTTTGCTCAACTCTGATATTTGCCTGCAAGGGGTACAGCAGCCTTTTCATGCCATATTCCTAGTTGAATACAAGCAGCCATAAACAGCTTATTAATGATACTCTTAAATGTAAGTCGCCTCACGGCAGGCCTTGCATACCATGCAGCTATAAGCGTACCTCATTACCTCGCAATTCATGGCCCGTCTAGTTGCAACTCGGGACAAGTTTACAAGTCTTGCTCCTCTATGTCCAGCCAGAGTCAAACCTTGCATATATATCATGAGGGACTTGCGGCAGTGTACGAGGTACAAGGGTGCGAGATGGGGAGCCGAAGGCTTCATCGTCCCCCCCGGTGGGTAGGTTGTGCTGCGAACCTCGCGTTAGTTATATCAACCAAAATTGCTGGCCCGGATAGGGCCAGGTTGGTAGGCACTGTAGCGTCTTCAGGGGCATAGCAGAAAAGAAACGCAATGACACAAAAACCAAGCCGAAGTGCAAGACGTGGAACACGACAGCCAAAAGTTTTGCGAGGTAATGGATTGTCCCATAAATGAAAGCAAAGCAAAACGAGTTTGCGCAATTAGCAACACTCGTTTTGTCGAGCAGTCAGTTAACACAATCATATATCGACCGCCACATGAATGTATACAGATCAACAATGCCACGGGCACCATACTCCCAGGAATTCCTCCTTTCAACAGACTGCATCACACTTAGTGGTTATCCACCTTGTATTTTGGCCTTTCATTGTACTGTACTACTGCATATATACCTCATTATATCTTGTATTATGCCAGGCTATGTTGGAACTTGGGGTAACTTTTCACGAGTCTTGTTCCTACAGCAGCATCCCTTCCGGAGTAGAACCTCGCATAAATATCTCGAAGGACTTGCACAGTGTACAAGGTATCCCGGTCCGGGATGGGGAACCAAAGACTTTACCATCCCTCTGATCAGTGTACCGCAACAGTTAAGATACCAGTTGTTGCTCTGAACTTCCTGTTCTGTCTATCAGAACCACTCACCCAGACAAACCTGAGCTGGTAAGCACTGTCTCTTCTTCATGGGCATAACAGTAAAGAAACGCCACAACACAGAAGCCAAGCCAAAGCGCAAGACGTGAAACACAACAACCAAAAGTTTTGCAAAGAAAGGCAATGGAAGTCCTGCGAATGCAAGCAAAGCGAAGCGCCAACTTTTCAACCAGCAAAGTGACTCTGTAAAAACAAACCCAGTTTGCAGCTGTCCTCTTGCAAGAGCAGCCTAACACATACAGGTGCCAGTGTTGGGTTTCCCTTGCTGCTGTCCACCTTGAAGGATGACACAACATACTCATTCAACAAGACGTAATGATATGTTGACTACCAGTGTCACAGGCCTGCTGTAACCTAACGCTCCTCTGCACACACTTCACTTTTTTTTATCGTCGACAAGACCCCCTGGCATGTATTATTGCATGTAGCCACCATGCAGGGGAGAATGCTAAGGATACTCAGCATGTGGTTCACCTGGTTGGCAGCAGGAGCGTAGCCGGGGGGGGGGGCTTATGGGGCTTCAGCCCTTCCCTTCCCCCCGAAATCCAGCTGGCCCTATAAAATACACATGCATTTGGGCCCCCCTCCCCCTCTCTGCACTCCAAGTCACAAGCATCCCAGCCCCCCAGCCCCCCCGCCCCACTCCCAGTGGCGTAGCCTGGAAAAAAAATTCCAGGCTACGCCACTGGTTGGCATTATGTGCTGTTGGGCTGCTCCTGCTACATATGAAGAACATTTACACGTAGTTGAATATGAAGAAAATCTTACTAATCTGAGAGAAATGATGAATGAAACACTGCAAGAATGAGTGAAACACTGCAGGTTGGAAGCTGCCTTCACCATTAAATACCAGAGTTTTCCCTATGCAGAGAGCAAGTCGTCTGCTTCTTGTGCAAGAGTTGCGGTGACGTCAGAACGATGCCGACCTTTGATTGGCTCGAATTGGAAGTATAACAAGTAGACGAAGCAAACTGCCTTGAGGTCTACCCCCTATTCTTCAATCAGAGCCAATCAAAGCTCAGCGTTCCGACATCACCGCAACCCTCCAAAAAAAGCAGATAAACTTGCGCTCCGCATAGACTCCAGTGTAACATTTATGCATGACCTACCGTAAAATACCGGGCAAGCGCCCACTTAAAACTTGGAGATGATTGCGAAAAAATAGGGGATGGGCACTTGTCTGGTTATCAATTTTACATATAAATGTACTGCGCATATTTTCTCAGATCTTACGAATTGGGCGCTTAATGTGGAATGGGCGAATGCGCAGTATTCTACGGTAATTAGCTGCAACAGGTAGAAGCTTTATGTTTTGGTAAACATAGCTCTGCTAAAATTTTTAAGAAACTCACCACTGATCTAGGTAGTTTATGGACTTCAGCGGCAGCACACAACAAGTCCAGGCCTTCGTGCACTGCCTCATCAAAGGTGTCCATCCCTGTTGCTGCTGGCACGGTTGTGGGGTTGGCATCAGTAGCCTCTAGCATAGCTGGTGCTGTGGAAGACGAAGCTGGTGCTGTTGAAGATCTCTTCCTCCACCTGCACAGTCAAGATTAGTATCAATGCCACCGGCTTTCTAACATACGAAAAACTTCCTTGCTTTCAATAAAAACGTGTGCACATCTTTGTTTTGTTTTTTCATAAAGATCAATAGACCCTTTCGTGAACTCCCAGAATGCATTGCTCAGAACCCACGTGACCTCGCAGCATGCAGAAAATTGTGGGGGCATTCTGATGTCCGGCTGGTGCGGCAGCAAGGCTGAATCCATTAGTACCTTCGCATGTCGACGAGACGACGGCGTTTACTCTTGACCTTTTGAGATATGAAGGTAGGTTGGAATATCTTGTTTATACTTGGAGTGTTGCGAGTTGCCAATGCTTGGTTGGTCCATATCATTTCATCGACAACTTTTCATCAACGCACATTTCATCAACAACTACTACGGCGCTCAATCGGGCGTCGGTGCCGTAGTAAGTCTACAATCGAGTTCTGGTCGGTTAGTTGTCTCTGCTTCGAATGACGTGTAGGAGCAACTCGCCATGGACAGCACCGAACAAAGCCCGCAAGCGTAGTGTGTCCCCCAGTGCAAACATCGGATACCCATAATTCCTGGAGGGGTGCGGTTTTTTTTATTTTTAATGAAAGGTTCTATTGCTGTATTTTACAACTGCATGCATGTAGATATAAAGTTGTTGCAGTCTCACCAGGGAGTAATAAAGTACCTGTTAAATCTTGACAGCTGAGCTGCAGGCACTGCTGGCTGCTTCTTGTAGATCGGTGGGAATATAGTTGGAAGGTACCCCGGGTGTGTAGCGATGTTGCTCTTCTCGCCGTTGACGAAATGTTTGGAGCATATTCTTGAGTTGTCGTTTGGACACCAGTCACTGTTGTCTTCACCACTAGAATAAAATGTGGGTCATTAGAACCAAATTCTGCATGCTAGAGAACAGTATGCAGATTGCAATGGCTGTAATGTGATATGCATGCCTAGTGCAAAAAGGTGATAGGCAACAAAGTGTACGTGTGAGAAGGATATTTAAGCTTCGCCGTGAGCTTTTCCTAAAAAAAATGTACACCGTTTTCTGCACGCCGTCACATTTGTTACCAGACTGGGCATTAAATTTGGTTGCCGAAACAAACAAAACTTTATGCTATAAAATCCACTATTTAAACTCGCAGATTTGGAAGGTCTTGGTTGCGACCGCGCGTGCCGAACGGCTATGCACGCGTAAACTACTGCCGGAACGGACCGACGGGCGTCTCGCTTGAAGGCCAGATTCTCCACGTCAGAGCGAAGCAACAACCGGCCCGATTGTTCCTACTGTATTTCCCTATGTGGCCGTCTAAGTGACTCGTAAAACAACTCGTCAACTCGGCAAAATAAATGTTATTTTGCCGAGTAGTCTACAAAACGAGTTCGTCAGACCATGCTTTCCAAGCCTGCACATTTATTATCGTTCACTTACTTGGTGCGTCGCACTGCCGTAACCCACTTCTGTCGCCTTGTCGCTTCCCAAGGTCTCGAAGGGAAGCGGTAAAGCTTCACGCTCGAGTCCCCTTCGCGGCTGTGACAGTCCTTTACGCAGCAATAGCGACGTTTATTTTTCGGTGGTCTAGGAGCAGTCGGGAGGTCACACGAATCCGGTGAGGCCATAGAGAAATGAGACTGGGCGTACTTTTACAAAAAGAACAGTTCCCAAAAAAGGCTCACGCCGACTCGAACTCGCACAATCACACGTGGTTTCTACCGCCCGTCCTGGGTAGGCCTACCCAGTTTTTTTATTTTGCAGCCGCTAGATGGCGCAACGTGTAGCGCCAAACTGCATTGCAGGTTGCCTATAGTCTCCCTACGGGAGCCAGTGTTGCGCGATCACGTGAGGAGCCGGATCAAGTGCCGTGCAGGAAAGCAGACGGTGCACGCGCCCCGGCGTACGTTTCCCTGCTTTTGAGCGCGCCGCGCGCCTCGAACGCGCGGCGCCGCTATTGGCCGAATTCAGTTACGTGACGAGCGGGACCAACATGCCGGGCAGGAATGACGGCGTAGATGAACGCGCAACTCTGGCTCCCGTAGGCAGCCCATACAGGAACTCTAGCGCCGGTAAAAGAAACACGGTGGGGCGCTCGGCCGCCGTGCCGTCGGCGTCGGCTCCTTTCGACGCCGACGAACATGGCGGCGTCTCTAGAATGTACATCGTCGGCGTCCGCAACCTCGGAAGTAGCGAAACCTGTCCGTCCACGCAAGTGCATTGCAGACGAACTAACGGCGCTGAATAACGCAGCACAGTGAGCGAGGAGGCAGGCAGTGAAATCCACCATCGCTTTGTCAAGTCTCACAATACTCGGCGGGCTGAAAAAGCAGCGGCGCAACGCGCTAGGGGACAGAACAAAGCCTTTTGAAAGCGTGAGGCGCAAGCGGATCGCGATGCAAAGCGTCTCAGGCGGCAAGAGGACGAGGTCCTTCGACAACGCGAGGTGCAAGCAATACTTCGCAGGCGGCATGCTTTCGCATCCACAACTCATAAGAAGTGGTTAGGTGTCATCGAACTTTTTTTTTTCTGCAACTACTATTGATTGAATAAACAAAAACGCTTGTTTCACAGGAAATGAATGTCAAGAAATAATTCTGAATTGTGTTACCTGAAGAAAATAAAATAAAAATAATCCTTGCATCGCCCCTTTATCATATTAAAGCGGATGATTGAGGAGAAGATCAAACGACACAGGTTGCAGTGTGTGCCGCGGTAGAGCCCGGATTCATTTCTATTGTTTGCCTAAATCATTTTGCTATGTGAGATACCATTCATAAAGGTTTGAAAGTACCAGGAAATTTAGTTTAGGGAGACAACAGTACAGTTATGGATACCCGCGCCGCGTCACCGTCACCGCGCATAGGGGAATACAGGCTAATGCCAGAATACCAGTCCAAACCAAAAATCCTCACAAAAAAAAAAAAAAAATTGGGAACAGGAATACTTATTCTTTGTTTTAGGCCTGCCACCAAGAAACCGAAAGATGATATGTTGGATATCCGTTTTGTTAGAAATTATCGGCTTATAAACGTGCCTGTGATAATAGTACTTTGAGTCGCAATTTTTGTGCGGCCTAGCGCGTGTGCAATACAAAAAAAAAAGTTACAAAAGTCATACCCAGGCAGCACGCCCACACTGGGTCAGCGTCGGGGGAATATTGCACACAATATTGGCCCAGTTTCATGTTTTGCACCACGTCCCAGTGTTGGGGCAATACCGGTTAACGATCGTTCTAAAAATGAACCAGAATCGGCGATATCATTCGAGTTCTGGGCAGATATGGGCGAATACTGGTTAACATGGCCGCGGCCGCTGCGGTGTCAGCGGACTTCGGCCAAGCCAAGGTTACTAGATAGATAGATTTGTAGGTTTAAGTGCAGGTCGCACAGAAGGCGTTTCCGCCCGTACACATATGTGCCTATGTGGCCAGCTAGACGATGATGGCGGTGCGAGGCTTCTTGGCTTGAGAAGTCTGGGACGATGATGGTGGCATGGGGAAGAGGGCGAAAATAGAGGTTGGTGACGTATGATGAGGTACACAAGACATTCGTGGGTGTTGGTTTAGAGGTGTTTTGCTGCTGCCTTGCAGAGCTGTGTCACCTCGTCTCTGTCTGGAATGGGCAACCGATCAGTTGGGAAACTGCCATAGAGCCTGCTCTGAAAAGTGACACCGGTCCGCACTCGAGAAGCGAGCTAATAGCGATCGGAACCCCGCCATTTCTCCCGCACCGCCACTCGAGGAACTGCACGTGACTTCTATTTTGGCTTCAATCGGCTATTTTGGCTCCGAAACAGACACGGTGGAAGGACTTCATGGGTGCCACCCCCGACTCCCACGCGGAAGCGCCGCGAGTTACTGCCGAAGTCAGGATACGCCTAGGTCGGGACGCGCTACCTGAAATCACCGCTGAGACATGGTTGTATAAAAACAATATTAATAGCGCCGCAAACCTTGTAAACTACAGATTTTAGAAAACATCACAACCACCCCCCCCCCCTTTTTTTTTTACTGTTCTCCAATAAAATTTACTACAGAAACAGTTTTTTTTTTGTTTGTTTGTACAGAAAAACCCTGTTCCAGCCACTGATTGCCCGGCGCGCCCTCGGCGCGGCCCGTGGCAATAGCGGTGGCCGCCGGGATTGGCCGGCGCGATTGACCGATTCAGTGTCGTTTTAAAGACGGTCGAGAATCCCTAATACCGGCCTATATTGCCGGTTCAGACCCGATACATTATTGGTATCGTTTTAGAAACGGTCAAGAATTCCTAATAACCGCCGATATAGCCGGTTCAGACCCGACAAATTACCGGAAAACGGAGCTGGATACTGTACTATTTTAATTTACTCCTGTATTTGTATTTCCAACTACATTTTTGAGTATTTCTGCCCAACCCTGTTCGTGGTCGACACAAGAATGATTGAACTGCGTAGGTTTATTCTAGCATAGCAGTACAGGTGTGAGTTGGGACGTTTCTGGACACAATCTGGTGGAGAGAGGGTCACCCGGAGGCGGTAGTGATGATGATGGCGGCGGTGGCGATGATGATGATCTCCCGACAGATTCATTCAAGCAAATATTTTTATAGCTGTTTTTGCTGTTTACAAATCTGGCCGTTTAAGCCAGTACCAGACAAGTGACCCGACACCGATCAGACGGCGCTGGGTCAGGTAGCGGCTTCCCGGTTGACGTTGAATTCTTCCATGAAACTCACGTAGAAGAAACCGGAGTTAGACCGAGTAACTTTGAAAAGGGACGTCGTCGAGAATCCCAGTAGTAGGCGTAAATTTTCGGTCGCTTCCTTCTTGCACTGGGAGCATTTCCAGGCCTACTCGGATCCAAAGTTTTGTCGCCCATTTTCTTGTCTGCGCAAGAAAGAAAAGCCAAAAGTAGAAAGCTATAGAAAAGCAAGACATTCGCATTCATTCTGTGTATATATACACAGAATGAATGCGAATGTCTTGTCTAATTCCTATACCTTTACTACGGTACGATTCGGGCGAAAAAGTCGCGATTAAGGCTCAAAACAAAAGTACACTCACTCATTTCTTGCACAAAACAACAAATGTACAATGTCAAATAAAATTTTTGGGTTCAATCAGCACTCAGTATAATACAAAAGTCATTTTTTGTTAGCAGCAGTAGAAGAGCAGTGGCCTCCGTTTCGCTACAGGACACAAACAGTTCGCAATCTCCCTTCCAAAGAGTACCCCACAAAAATGTTTGGAGAGAAATATAGTACGAAGTATTAGGCAATACAAATACTGCAATACATCACAAAGAAAGATAAAATACTCATACTGAAATACATTTATAGAGCGTCGCGATATGTATGAGAAATGCATTTGAATAAATAAAATAACCTTTAATTACAAATACGTAAATACATTTTGCTGTGACAGAAACAGAGATGAGGAAATTTTATTCTTAAAATTACTATTGTCAATGTTATTATACTTCCTAGAACTAGTTGTGCCCATGTGCTAATGTATATGAAAAAAACACGTATGATCCACAAAATTTTAACCCATTACCGTATTTGCCGGGTTATAGTCCGGATCTGGTGTATAGTTCGCAGGAACAATTTTGGGGAAAAATAAAGTATTTTCTTAGATGGTGTGCACCCGGTGCATAGTATTTTCCTGGTGCTTAGTCGACACGAAAATCTCCTCGTACAGGGCACACCTCGACAAAAGTCTGCTTTCTTAGCTCGCAAAGAAGCTTGTATAATTCATAAATCGTAATTAACATACTCTTCCATTCACAACAATCGTCATGTCTCCTCATAATGAACAATCTTCAAAAACCAAACTCCTTTATAGTCCGCACCCTTAGATAGTCCACACAGCCTAAAATTTTAACTTTTAAATATGTATAGTCTGCGCACTGCAGTCCTGAAATTACGGTACATAAAACATTTGGAACCACTAAGCGATTACCTATTGTGCGTCCTGAATTTCGACGTTGTAGTTTTTCCGTTTGGAATGAGTTATTTTTCAAAAGTAACACTTATCATTTTGCGTATTGATAAGAGAAGGAATGCACAGCAGTTCTTTTTACAGATTGGAAAACACCTCTAGCCAGAGCTGGAGCGACATTTTCCTTGGCATTTCTCATCCTTATGACGTAAAATCACAGGAAACTCTATATCAATTTTGCATGCTCACAAATAAAATAAAGTTGTGCTTGTTCAATCTGGGCGCCTTTTTAAGAGCGATGTTAAGATATAACAGTGGAATGACATAGTTTTATTTTACATGTTGATTGAGCGCACCGGAAGCGCCTACAATATTTGGAATCTTCAAGAATCTGCAACACTGCAGTCCGGGAAAACATTTCTTTTCTTTGCAGAACAGAAAAATGAGCCAGTATAGTAGGGTACAGGTTCGAACAATACCAAAGCCATAGTGCGTCCTTCACACCACACTTCCCGACTCCAGACAAAACAAAAAGTTAGCTTGAACGTTTCTTTGGAAGGCAACGATTCCTTGAAAGTTCTATTAAGATACATCGGCCCTGAAATATTGTAATACAAGGAATACACCCGAAAATGTATTGAAAAACAGAAATACA